ATAAGTGAGTATTGTGAGTCTAAAGAATTTTGATTGACAGTATTTGTGTTTTACTGACGTGAAACTGTGCAGGTTTTTATTGCAAAATAGGGCGAGTTTAGGCGAGTTAAGCAAAATTCTGTCAACTTCTCATTGCGAGATAAGGCGAGATTGGGCGAGTTAAGCAAAATTTGATCTTTTTCTATTGCGAGATAGGGCGAGATAAGGCGAGTTAGGGCGAGTTAAGGTCCCAGAGTAGGCCTCAGAGATGAACTTGCCTCAGTAAAGCAAGCTGTCAAGTTTTGTATTGGGGCTAGTTTGCCTCCAGACAAGCAAACCTCTGTAAAATGTCAAACTCTACCCCCAACCACTAACATCTTTCTGGTCTTTCTGGAATATAGAGCAACAACAGTAATAGACACAAACTGTAATAATTATTTTGTTATTACATACAAATCTATATTACTTGTGGACCCCATTTTCCACTTTACACACTTCTTGAACTGAACAATTTAGTAATTTACTACCATTTGTAAAAATATAGAGAAATTTAACTTACTTTATAATTTAATAGAGCCCTCAGTTCGATCGAGTTTCACATCGTGGGCATAAGATTCCTTCCATTATTCCACTTGCATGGTAGTAATTGGTTCGACTGTAAATTATTTGTTCTCCGTCAATTTCGAGGGATTTCTACGGAAACCGTGAAGGGACTTCAGACTTCAGACTTCAGAGTTCAGACTTCAGACTTCAAACATTGGTTCCGAGCTTCGCTAATAGCCAACATTGCTTCTGCGAAGCTGGCTAATATTTAAGGCACTTATGCAGTCAAAGCTGTTCAAACTAGTAAAAGTTAAAACTGGTCAGAATGATTTAGATTGTAAATGCAGACTGTTGGAATGTGTACGTCAGTGAGTTCTGACAGTTCTTTGCAGGTTTAAAGGCAGAACGATAAAACATATAATACTATTGTTTGTAGAAACACCACATAAATTTATTACTGCAGTAAATTTATTAACTTTATTCTGTAAATTTATCAAGTTAAGTATAACACGCGCTCAAAACTAATGAGTAATGCGTATAATATTCCACTTGAGGTTATGACTAAATTCAAAATTTTTATTTTTTGACTGAACGCTTCTCAATCGGCAAACAAACTTAAAAAGTATGTTTAGTGTTTTATCTGTAAAATAATGCTAAATTGAAGAGATTTTAGGCTACGCCAAGGAGAAAATTACGTCTGAAGTTCAGTAAGTTTTGCTTATATTGCTCGGCTTAAATATGGCGTCAATTTTAAAGCATCATTCATAATTGTATTTTAATTGACAATTTTTAACTATGATTTTATGTTTCTCAACCGGCAGATGCATTTAAAAAGGTAGCTAACTGTATAAACTAAAGAATAAAGCAAAAACAAAGTGATTCTAAGAGGAGGAACGCAAAAGCAATGTTGTCTACTAGCGAAGCTCGGAACCAATGTTTGACAGTCAGACTTCGGACTTCAGACTTCAAACTTCAGACTTCAGACTTCAGACTTCAGACTTTAGACTTTAGACTTTAGACTTCAGACATTGGTTCCGAGCTTCGCTAGTAGCCAACATTGCTTTTGCGTTCCTTCTCTTAGAATCACTTTGTTTTTGCTTTATTCTTTAGTTTATACAGTTAGCTACCTTTTTAAATGCATCTGCCGGTTAAGAAACATAAAATCATAGTTAAAAATTGTCAATTAAAATACAATTATCAATGATGCTTTAAAATTGACGCCATATTTAAGCTGAGCAGTATAAGCAAAACTTACTGAACTTCACTACATAATTTTCTCTTTGGCGTAGTCTAAAATCTTTTCAATTTAGCATTATTTTACAGATAAAGAACTAAACATACTTTTTAAGTTTGTTGCCGATTGAGAAACGTTTTGAAAAATAAAAATTGAGTCATAACCTCAAGTGGTATATTATACGCATTAGTTTTGAGCGCGTGTTATACTTAACTTGATAAATTTACAGAATAAAGTTAATAAATTTACTGCAGTAATAAATTTATGTGGTGTTTCTACAAACAATAGTATTATATGTTTTATCGTTCTGCCTTTAAACCTGCAAAGAACTGTCAGAACTCACTGACACATTCCAACAGTCTGCATTTACAATCTAAATCATTCTGACCATTTTTAACTTTAGTTTTGACTGAATAAGTGCCTTAAATATTAGCCAGCTTCGCAGAAGAAATGTTGGAACCAATGTTTGAAGTCTGAAGTCTGAAGTCTGAAGTCTGAAATCTGAAGTCCCTTCACGGCTTCCGTAGATAATAGTACAAGGAAAAACTCTCAAAAAAATTTGGCAGGTCGGCAAAATACCTTTATTACATAGAAATTAGTTTAAATACAAGTTTTTAAAGAATTAATACTGAAACAACAGCGAAAAAAACATGTTCATTGGACATTGAGAATATAAATTGTTCAGAAAAGTTTGCAACGAAAGACAAATAGTAAATTTGCAGTCAACAAGCACTTACTAGTCTACCAAACATCTGTAATATATCTGAGCTTTTCTGTGACTGATATACCGGTTTTAAAACCATTTCTTTCACTTTGTCTTTGAGTTGTAAAACAAAAGTATTTCAAATTTTCATGGCCAAGCGGTTTTTGGCCGAACAAATTGTTAAGACATTGTAACAGAGGATAATTAATTATTGAGTCAGTTAATGGCTATTAGACTATATTATAAAACAATTATACCATTCGCTCTCGTCGTATATGGTTGATAGCCGACTCGGTGCTACGCACCTCGTTGGCTATCAGCTCATATACCAACCTAGTACCCAGGACTAGCCGCGAATTGAAGACGGCGGCGTAGCCCTGGTAAACGCTGGTCACGTGACTCGAACATTACGTAATTGTTACTTTTCTGATCCGGGGGGTGAATTCTAGAGGTGAAACTCGACGACCAATTTTTAGATTTTTAGTACGAAATTCTTCAATCTTCCCTGTGAATTTTGCATTTCAAGTTTTTTTCAAAGTACGGCGATCGATCAAATGGATCAATACTTTCTGTGGAAAAAACTCAGTGAGATTTGTTCGTATGCGACGTTTAAAAGACTTGGATATGTCGCTCAAGACGCTCGATCATTGCACAGGTTTATGGTTTAGTACTTTGTTCAGTTTGTTGCGACTTGCGAAGCAAATGAATGCAAATTCAACTCTTGTATAATGAGTAAAAGTTGGTTAGTAGAGGGACAACTGATACAAAAGATATGAATACTTCAGCTTCAAACTAGGAACAAGTTCTGATTTCAGAAGTTCATGGACTTCCCTAATATATGAACATTGATATTTCACCAATATGTAAATATGACTATTAAATATATAAAAGGATTGCTGTTGTATATGTACAAGTGTTGTGCTGTGGTATTTACATCTTAACCCTTTAAGTCAATGCACCCAGATGCGCCCTACTTTGTTAGTTTACTCTGTCTAATGCCAGACAATTTTACTTGTCGGGGAAAGTGCATGCTGCCACTCAATGGGTTAACATAGTCGATGAACATGCCAAATGATCCTTGACCGTGGTAGTGCATTTTTGCACTTGCTGGATGATATCGCAACCAAGCATTGTTTCGGAGGAAGAGCCCTGGGATCATGCTGTGTAGCAATTGGAATCTCACGTCACGAAGGTCTTGCATAAAGCTGCATGGCAAGACCTTTACTCAGAAGCCAGGATTAATATTAATTCCCCACATAAACACTTGGAAACCGGACTGTCCCATCTGCCATATGCGGGACAAAAAAACATGCAGCCTGGACTTTAACTGTTAAACAACCAAATCAGCATTGTAAACAGTGTGATGATTTTTGCTTAGCCCAAACCAAAGTCAGTTTTCTAGAATTAATTTGCAGAATCCTAAGAACTGGACTCCAACTTGAAGAGCTAGCTGTGCTAACCAAGTCAACAATAACTGTGTATGGGCAACCCTGAATTGAAGTGACTAAAGCAAATCTTCAATGATTAATAGAGAGAGCAGATTTGACTTCCACTACTGCTATTGCTATCATTAATTAACCAGACAAGTTTCATCTACCCAATCAAACACTGGATGCAACTGCCAGATCAAGTAGTGGTAGTGGAAGTCAAATTTGAATCTTTCTGTATGGATTTCAGAGAGACCAGTCATTATTTGCTGATACATTATTATAACTTGTATAATCAAAAGCTACTATATTCATTTATGATATTAAAAATTGATATAATTATCTATAGAGTGAGATAATTTAAATATTCATAACATGAAAATGATTCATGCAGGTGATTGAATAAACCATGTAGTGTACATTGTGAATCTCTACAAACTATATAAATGTGGCACAGGTTGCAGGTATTAAGTTGAATGTCCACCAGTGTGCTGAAATACCATCCAGTGATCTGGCCTTGTTCATTGTTACTTGCATATATCTTGCTTAATTTAACTGTTTCTGCCCCATATCTTGTACCCATAAATTTATTTTCAATAATCTAGAAAACTTGAAAATCATTCAATAAATTAATTTATTAAAAAATTTGGTGAAAGGTAAGGGGTCGATAGATGAAGAAATCATTTCTTCTTGTTCATGCATATGGCCCCCATCTCTGTCAGGTGTTAGAGTAGAAATTTATTGAAGCCTTCAGAAAATAATTATGGCAACAAGGTTACAAGCCACACTGCAGAGTTAGGCAATTTTTTAAAAGATCCCAAGGGTACAAAAGGTTTATACCTTTGTATAGGGGGCAAGGGAACAAAATATATGTAGGGGCAAGGGAACAAAATAATGAAATTTTGAGATTCGGGGGCAGGTTTTTACGATGGGGTGCTAAACCTTTTCCCTAAAAAATCCCTGACCAGCTGCAGTTGTCATGGATATTAAAAATACTCATTAATGCACATATCAACGGCCTGCCCGGGGGTACACCCCGGGACAACCGGGGGAAAACGAGGGGGAATTTGGTATTTTATCTGTGTATTCTGCCCGTGAACCCTGGGGAAATTACAAACTTCGCAATAATAGGACGACGGGGGGAGGGGAAGTAGGGGACTTTGACATGACAATTTGAATTTTATAAGTGAAGTGCACAATTGGTGTAAACTCAAAATCGCAGGCTCACAGAGAAAAATATCGATCGCCAACTTATTATTTATGATATTTTGTAGTGATCTTGCTAAAATTTGAATAAATAAATACAGAATACATGAGTGCCATTGTGATACCCCAGTTTGTATGATAATTTTTAATTGTTTGTATGTTATTTATATTATGAACTACTTTATTCTAAGACCCAGGGGGAGGGCAGTTTGACTTACACATTTCCCGGGGGAGTGAGGAGGAATTAATGCATTAGAATCATGTTTTTTCAAAGTCCCGGGGTGTCCCGGGGGCGTACCCCCAGGGCAGGCCGTTGATATGTGCATAACTCACTGACATTAAATAAGGCTGAATAAATGCTGAAACTGATGTGTGACTATTAAAATATCCTAGCAGTTCAAGACCTTGAGGTTCATCAGATTTTGGCTTTGTCAACCTGGCCACTCTGCAATTAATAATGGCTTATTTAAATAATTTCAGGTTATTAAATGTAAATGTAAAAAAACAAAGTATTTGAAGTTAATACTGCTGTGATAAATCAATCAATTGTAAATAATAATCATGTGAGAAGTAGACTTTACTGAGAGTCTGAGTATAGTATTATAGGCCATTGTCTGGCCATGTGTTTCTCAATAGTTAAACTACAAATTCAGCTAACTATAACATACTGTATAAAATATAACAGCCTTCGAAATATATATTTCATAGAGCTGGTCAGTGTAACAAATAATTAAAGGCAACCGCATTGCCAACATTGCGATATTCGCAAGAGTGCACGTGCACGTGTTAACTCATGGGAATCTGCTAAATAATTTGTAACAATAAAATACTTCTAGACATTTTCAAATTGATACTGTACCTTTTTACTTGATGGAAATCATCACAAATAGTACGTGCGAGGTTGCAATTGTCTCCATAATTGTCCTTCGAAAGCCGAAACATCGCGTCATCGCCTCCTCGGCGAATTATATGATGCGATATAAAAGAAGATTGACGTACATTTGACGTAATATATAAACGTAACACATTAAAAAGAAAGATTACAACAAAAAATAAAAGAATATAAATAATCCACGCCTTCAAGTTCTATTCGTGAACTTTTCCTCGCCCCCCTGTCTTTATTTCCATAAAGCCCGCTCGCAGGCTAATACTCCAAGAATCTTGGAGTATTTGCCTGACACGTGACCAGCGTTTACCAGGACCATGTCGCTGCCTTCAACTCACGACTGGCCCTGGGTACGAGGTTGCTCATATACGACTCGAGCTCATGGTATAATTGTTAATTATACAACGCTAACAGCTTGAAAATTCCACTCAACCATGTATGTTTTGTTAGCCTTGTTTAAAGTAAAGGCTTTTCCATTTTAAAAAAAAAGATAAAACCCATATTTTCCAACTGAAGTAAACTCTACTTTATGTAGCGCGGCGCCATGTTTGTTTTGTTTTGAAGCAATCTGTGACCGTTACTTCTTTAATTTAAACTAAACTACTTTAAACTGATCGGTTGATTTTATCGTCACATTGTTTTCACCAATCAAATCGGTTTGTTATAGATTTTTGCACTGTGATTACAGAAAATTGCACTGTGATTACAGAAAATTGCACTGTGATTACAAAAAATTGCGCTGTGATTACAGAAAGTTGCACTGCTGTTTGGGATTAACTGCACTGAAATCAACCAATCACAGTCGAGTAATATTTTTATGTATAGTATTAAGTTTGAAAGACAACCTTGTATTTTAATTAGCTGTAAAAATGTGAAAATGTGCAATTTCGATCATATGCAGCCCAAAAATGCGTGGTATTTGTCGCATTTATGTAGAATCACGGCTTGGAAAAGTTTTGAAACCTCGCGCGTGAAAATCTTTCGCGTGCATATACGAGTGTACTTTGTTAGTTTGTTTACTGATTATTATGACAAGGTTAGCAAGATTTTCAATAGAAATTTATTACAACGTTTACTAAAGTATGAATATTTTGCAAATTATAAGTTTAAAAAGCAAGACCTTCTCTTGATTTTTATAAAGTTTTATTTAAATTATGTGCGACATAAATTTGACACCCGTGCGTCTCTCTCTGACATACAACACTGAGCTATTGTCCAAGCGTTCAGCCACGAATCACACGAGGCGATTCACGTGACTATAATTAACCAATTACAATACGGACTTATATACAAACAAAACATGAAGTAATTCACTTATAACATCCTCCCATCCAAAGATTAAAGTTTGAATAGTTTAAAATATTTAGGTATATTGTTCGCGAATTCGAGGCATGGCCTGTCCTTCAACCGCCGCTTTCCTTCTAGGCCGTGCGTTGATAACGTCGTCTTGAACCACAATCCCCTTTGGAACTTCATCGTTCTCGCTATCTTCCTCTGCATCTACGTCATTTGCTGAGTCTACTCTAGATTTCTCTCGAATTTCAAAGGGAATCAAACGCTGAATGGGTCGATGTACCAATGATTGTTTTCCGGCTTTCGACAGCACCTTCAACCGTGCACCTCGAACTTGTCCGTCCCGTTCCTTTACAAGTTCTAACATTCTTCCTATTCTCCACTGCGTACGTGGAGCAGGTTTGTCATCTTTGATTAGACCACTAGACTAGTCGTCTACCGTGATATTGTTGTCGTTATTACTTTTGACCTTTCGGTATAGATTCGTTTGACGAAGTTCGTTCAGGTAATTCGTGCGAAAACGCTTCCAAAAATCCTTTAGTACCTTTCGTAAATGCCACAACCGTTGTTTGCGACTATCTAAACTAGAGATTGCTACACAGTCTGCCGATCTGAATTGCTTTCCCGTAGAAACACTGCAACCGTACTTTAAGTGAAATGGTGTCAGCGCTTCGTCCAAATCATCTTCGCTTACGTAGGCCAATGGTCGATTGTTTACCGCGACTTCGATATCACTCAGAATAGTCTGCAGTTCTTCAAATGTCACAAACGCTTTGCCTAGAGTTTTCTTAAGACATGCTTTTACCGTTCTAACTAGTCGCTCGTAGAATCCTCCCCACCATGGCGATGCTGGTAAGATAAAACGTTGCCTAGCGCCTTGAAGTAACATGAACTTCTTCACTTCGGATGACCGGAAGGTTTTAAAGTTGTTGCTGATTACGAGCTCGGGAACACCTCGACGTGATACGAATCGCTTAAATCCCCACAAGAATCCATGTATTGACATGTCCGGTACTAGCTCCAAATGAATGGCTCGACTCGAAGCACACGTAAGCAAAAGGATATAACACTTGTTACTCTTTGATCCATCTTTAATAAATAAAGGTCCCGCAAAGTCGAGTTCGGTGAACAGAAACGCGTACGCCATATGATCCACTCTGTATTCCGGTAAATCTGTGCTAGAAGGCGCCCGCACAGGCTGACCTTGATAACGCGTACAAATTACACACTTTCGAATTACTTCTTTAACGCTTTTCCTCCCCTTAACGATCCAGTAGTTCCTTCGAATTCGTGCCAGCGTTGTTTCAATACCTTGATGCATTGTAGTTTCATATATGCGCATCCAAAATAATTAGACGAGTAAAGTAACTATTGTCCTTGCTACGAAGTATTACCGGGTGTTGTTCCTCGTACTCTAAAGATGAATTTGCAAACCGTCCCTTTAAACGCATAAGTCCAACCTTGTCTTCGAACAACCGCAGTGAAGCACAAAGATTAGTATAGTTTGCTTGTTCTTTCATCAGTATCTGCTCTTCCTTTATCCACATCTCTAAAGCTTTATTATATTCATCGACTGTCAGTACACTATCATTGACGATATCACCATCTACTTTTCTCACTCGCTTCTTTAAATTGTTCACAAATCACATTACGTAGCCAGTTGTTAGTAGCATTTTCTTCGATGAACTGTGACGAGTGCAATCAATGACAGCACTAATTGAACATCTGCTGTTGTTAGGCATGCCCTTCGCTGTCGTGTTACTGAAGTTGACAACTTTAGTAGGAACTTCTACATCAACCCTCCCAACCAAAGAGTTTTCGTTACCACAACTAGCTTTTACCCTGTCAACTTCCAACTCCTGTGACCACAACATCAAAGGTCCCTTAAACCAACAGCCCGAAAAAGAATCTTTTAAATTTGAAGACAGTCGAGTAGGGATATCAGCAGGATTTACCTCACCCCTAACAAAATGCCACTTCTCACGATCCACCACTTTCCTTATAGCCACAACCCTATTCTCAATCCAAGGTTCCCAACTCTTCTCCTTCCCATTAACCCAACAAAGAGCAACCTCGGAATCAGTCCAACAGAATATATCATGCAAATTAATTCGGTTTTCAACTCCTATGAGTACTTCGCGAATTAATTTGCTAAGGAGTAAGCACCCCAAGAGTTCTAACCGAGGAATCGTGAGTGTTTTTAAGGGAGCTACCTTAGTTTTTGAAGCTAAAAAACATACATGGACCGCGCCCTGATAGACAAGCCGTAGGTAGACAACCGCACAGTAAACTTCTTTAGAGCTATCACAGAAACCATGAAGCTCTATACGACTACCGGAGGAAAAATTAGATGTAAACACAAACCGACTATGCCGTACTTCCGCGAGCTGTTTTAATTCCTCGACAAATTTGGTCCAAACATCCGCAATTTTTTCAGGTATAATTTCATCCCAGTCCAATTTATCTTTGCAAAGCAACTGAAAAATGGTTTTGATTTTGGCAGTGACTGGAGCAATGAAACCTAATGGGTCGAAAATAGAAGCAGAAATGCTCAACATATTCCTTTTCGTGTGTTTAACGGTGGCACATTTTGAAATCAAATCGTCGAAACGAAATATTAATTCATTAGAGGTTGTGTCCCACTCTACACCTAAAACAACTTCATGCTCGACAGTGACGTTTGGTGATGTTGCCTCAAAATAAGTCATGTCATTATCTTTACCTAGTAAATTGTTGTCTCCGTTTTCCCTTGACGCAATGTACCCTGCTAATTCTTTGTCATTGGTGACCCATTTGCGCAAATTAAAACCGGCTTCAGATAAAATTGCCTTACTTCTATCATATAGGGCTTTACCCTCCTCAAGTTTATTACAGCAACTAACCAAATCATCAACATAAAGATCATCTATAACTCGCTGTGCTATTTCTCTTTCTTTCTCTAAGTAATTACTGAGGTGATGTCGTATAGTCCCATTCAATAAGAATGGACTACTCGTAATTCCGAAAACTACTCTTAAAAACCTGTAAATTACTACCTGCTCATCCTCAGCTTGCAACTCATACCACAAAAATGTAAGGTAGTCTCTATGCTGTGCATCTATACCAACATTTAGAAACGTTTTTTATGTCAGTTAATACCCCAATCTTATTCAATCTAAACCTAAGCAAATGTCAAAAATCTTAGCTATCAGGTTAGGACCTGAATAAAGGCATTCATTTAAAGAAGGACCACTGACTTCACATGAGGCATCAAATACCGCGCGTATTTTGGTAGTCTGTTTATCATTACGTATAACCGGCCTATGGGGAAGGTAGTGTACTTGCCCTGTTTCCCTTGCAACCTCAGCTGATGGAACACGCTCTATTATACCGTTTTCTTCATACTCCGAGAATATTTGATTGTATTCATGCAAAATGTTACTCGCAGCCAACTTATTCTTTAGTGATTTAAGCCGTCCTTCACAAACCTTAAAATTGTCAGGGAGCACCTCATGATCAGGTTTAAATGGTAATTTTGTGATGTTACCTAGTTCCGCCATGAATAATGTCATTTTCAAATTGGTCAACAACACTGTCAGTTTTAGTGCCTATGCTCTCCACATTCCAAAACTTATCCAGTTCTTGCCGTAAGCTTATGTCTGACTCTGACTGCTCCACCGAAGAAAGTAGCAAATGCGTTTCAAAACAATGCATATCAGATGCACTTGAGCCAATTCGACAACTAAGTACCCTTCTCACTTAGTTTTACATGAAACAGGGCCTAATTTACTTCTTATAACCTTGCTTCTTATAATCTTATAAAGACATGGTAAAAATCGATGCCAATCAAAATGCCGACCGGAAGATTTTGGTGTTGCTTGTGCTCAAAGTCAGCAAATTCCAACCCTGCAAATTCCGATAATTCATGCACACTTGACAGTGACTGATGTGTCAGCGGATTACATATGGTTGGGACACATAGGGCTTCTACAAATGTAAATCTAGCATCACTTTTATTTCTAACCTTAAGTTGAACTACATCAAGTTTCTGTACCTCACTGTTCTCAGCCTGCCCAAAGGTTTTGATTACAACTTTCTCCACTCTAATTGCCTTCAATTTCAGTGTACTTCTAACCTTGTCAGATATATACGACCTCTGACTATCGCTGTCAAATAAAATTCTAGTCTGGACTTGCACACTGTCATCTGTAGGTAATATATCCTCTCTAGCTGTCTGCAATAGTATACCGCTTTTATTACAGTTAGCATGTACCACAAAACCTTTGTTATCATTAGTTGTTGCGTTCTTATCTTCCTCCCGATTTATACCTGGGGGATCTGCTGGTGTATTTTCGCATATGGATATCTGATGGTGCTTGCCAGTCTTACACTTCCTGCATAAGTAATGGGACTTACAATTTTTGGCCATATGTCCAGTATCTAAGCATATAAAACACCGCTTGTTTCTACGGAGAATGGCCTTTCGGGATTAGCAATTCGAAACATTACTGCATTTGGATGATGAATGTCCCTCCTTGCCACAATAAACGCATGCAACCTTATTGGTCTGACCAAACAAACCACTAGTAGTATAATATCCACTAGTAGTACAATATGCACTACAATTCTCTTGCGCTCGAAGCTCACTATTAAAATATTCCATGACTTTATCAAGTGTCCAGATCTCCTCGCCAAATTTTCTGGAAATAATCATGGTAATTTCGTCAGGCAATCAGGGATGCCGGAAGTTGCTGGGGGCAAGGGCTGCAATTGGTTAACAAGAGGGCATATTCCTTAACAAAAGGGCACTAATGAAAATGAAAGGGCATCTAAAAATTATTTTTGGCGATCTCCCCCCCCCCCCCCCCCCCCAAAATGCAATTTTTAATGAAAATTTTTTACGCAAAAAGGGCACTTTGTGCACCCGTTGCACCCGTATTCTGCACCCGTAGTGCACCCGTAAAGTTGTGAAGACAAAAGGACCCGCTGCACCCGCTGCACCCGTGGTTCCGGCATCCCTGCAGGCAATCTATCTTTTAAGGTTGGAATTAGCAATGAGCCGTAACCAGATGTGTCAAGTTTAAGGGATTTCAAATTTCTTACACAACTCTCTACATGATTATAAAGCATAGCAGATATTAAGATTTGTTCATTTCCAAATCTGCCTTTCAAAATTTCTATTGCTTCCTGATAGTTTTCTGAGTTCAAAGTTAAACCTGATACAGCAGATAAACTTTCTCCTTTCAAACATTCCTTTAGGTGATTAAATTTGTCCATGTCACTTATACGTGTGTTACTATAAATTGCTACTTGGAATTGGTCCCAAAACCCTTGCAATGCCAGTGGGTCTCCTGAAAACTCTGGTAATTTCATTTTAGGTAATCTACAATGCACTGCGCTGCCCTGCGCCTGAACGTTATTACCACCTGAAGCGCCTAAGGTATTTATTGGCTTCGTACTTTGATTAAACGCAGCTAGCCTTAAGTCTACTTTCGCCAAAACATGATAGCTGGGTTCTAACGCTTTCATATGTTCGACAACTGCAGCCTCTATTTCTTTTGGATCAAGCATGTTAAGGTTAATAATTTCATTATGAACAACAGCCAATTGTTCAAGAATACTCGAAACTGTATTTCTCAACCCCAAAAGTTTCGCTTGCTCACAGTCTTCAAAAGAAACATATTGGTCTAGTTCTTGATAAAAGAATTTTTAAATAAGCAGAAAGACCGGCGAGTCTACCCTTAACTTTGCCTAAATCAGTCGCCATCCTAACCTACTATATACCGAGCATGTGGTCACTAAACAAGACGACAATTAAACAACAAATTACGTTCGCGGGTGTGAACGAACCAAAATGTATGTCTGCATGCATCCCCACGCTCGTTAATTGCCCTCCTTGACCAGACACAGCACAGCGACACGCGCTGGCCATACACTATAAAAAACACAAACAATTACAATGCAAAATATACGCAAGTGAGAAAGAAGCCTAAGGTTAATTTCGACCGAATAAATAAAGAAGTTACCTCTACCAAGACAACAGATCTGCAACCTTTCACCGGGAAGAACGAGGTTGCGAGAATGACACTTGAAGGGAACTATTAACAACAATGTTCGCTGTCGCCGTCTGAATATTTCACCGCCGTTATAGACTTATAGTTCTTTAACCGTTATAGACTTATAGTTCTTTAATTGTTCAAGTGTCCCATATCGGGTTCCATTTAAAAAGCAAGACCTTCTCTTGATTTTTATTTAAATTATGTGCGACATAAATTTGCACACCCGTGCGTCTCTCTCTGACATACAACACTGAGCTATTGTCCAAGCGTTCAGCCACGAATCACACGAAGGCGATTCACGTGACTATAATTAACCAATTACAATACGGACTATATACAAACAAAACATTAAGTAATTCACTTATAACAATAAGCAAAAACAATAAAAAATCTACATCATTTCAAACATTGGTAATTTTACTACGTTCCCCCAAAGTTTTAACTTCAGAAGTTCATTATAAGGAATGATGTTAAAAAAGCGAATTCTTTTCGGGGTTTTGACAAAAATGGGGTCATCTACCCTGTGGTGATGTCAGTTCTAAATCTTGACAAAGCGCTGATTGAAACGTGACCCCAGCATAGTTTTGACAAAATTTTGTGAAAAACCCGGAAAGAAAAAGAATTCGTTTTTTTTAACATTCATAGAATGAACTTTTGAAGTTAGTTTGGTTGAACGTATATAGTAAAATTACCAGTGTTTGAATTTTTTTTGTTTTTGTTTGTAATTTGCAAAATATTCATACTTTAGTAAACGTTGTAATAAATTTCCGTTAAAAATCTTAATTGCCAACCTTGCCATAATAATAATAAAACAAAGCAGACTAGTATATGCAGGCACGGCGCCACGCGCGAGCTTTCAAAACCTTTCCAGCTATATATGAGACTAGACTACATAAAAGTGGCAAATACCACGCATTTGTGGCCTATGTTTCGACAAACAATTTTTATCGCACTCGTATTTGCTTTGGATGAAAAATGTGTCATCCTACAGCTAAAAATCTGATCTTTATGATTATGACAAAATTACGTTCATGCACGGAGTAGGCCGAATTGACGCACAAGGGCATGCTAAAGTTCGACTATCTTTTTTGTGTAGTGTGCCCTGTATAGAAAGGCACAGCTAGATACTATTTTCTCTTGTCGACAATTGCCAAAGCGAGACGGTATGGTAATTGCATGCTGCCTCCCACACAATTATGGACGAAGCTTTTGTGCGTTGAAAACGGCGTTTGAACTTCCGCAGTATTTTTAGAAAGAAACAAAATCGATACAACTGAGTGGTCTTTGAAGATTTGTGCTGCCGAAGCTCTAGGACGAAGGAGGTACGTAGACTGTGATAGATAGATAATATTTACCTGGTAATGTTATAAAACGACGTATATACCCTTGGCACTTTCGCTTGTTTGTTTCATTATTTTATAAATTACATAAGTAGTAGCTTTATTCTTTAGCAACTCTTCAACTAGGAATTGCAGCGACATGGTTAGTTTCCTTTTCATACGCTGGATTACACAGTATAATGGCAGCTGTAGCGCCGAAGCGAATGAACAACATACACGATCTCGCATGGTTGAAGACAGATCGAATTATCTAATAAACGCCATAAACAGAACTTCCGCGTTTCAAGCAAATACCTAATTTTGTCCAAAAGTTAATATACTACAATATCTTCAAGACACGGTGCTTTGCTCGAAACGTCAAAATTCTGTTTATTTTTTACTCTTTCTCGACAACTGGTTTCGCATTGTACATTACGATTCAATTTTTCTAATGTAAATATCTCGGCGAGTATTTATCCCCCTTTAAAACAAAAACCACCATTGAAATCCTCACAAAATAACCTTTCGAACGGGGGCTCAAGTGCCGTCAAAACATCACACAAACCGAACCAATTATATATTTATACTCCTCACCGCTTGGCCAAACATTCTGTATTTCATATCGAGAAAAAAGTTGAATATCTTTTAAACTTTTCGTCATTTCCTGAAAGGCTATAAGAGTAAAATACTCTTTGTATTCAAACGCTTTTATGTAGAAAGTTTCGTTTGAATTCGGCGAGTATAGAAATATTTATTTTGACTTTTTCACGATATCAGGTTTTACTCGCACGCGCGTGTCACGCGCTATACTTGGCCAATAAGGAGCTCTTGTAGCTGGGATGACGTCAAACTCACGCGTGTAGGTGCACTTTGACGTGTAGAATCGTTTCTCTGCATTTGCAGAGTCATGCGATACAAACGTCGTATTGTTCTGACATGTTTAGTCGTATTTCCGGTTGGGATTATCCCAGAAATGTAAATCCGGCAATATAAAAAGATCACAATTAAAGATAGAAACTTGAAAATAACACTATAAATAGCGTTTTGAATACTTAATCAAACAAGACTATCACAATGAGCATACGTCTCAAGGGGCCGAAGTTATGTTCGGCAAAAGTATGTTCCTGTTTATAATTTGTTAGTAATATTGCGTAATTTGATCATATACGAACTCGCTTGACTTTCACAGCTCATAAATCGCTATAATGGTGCCATTGACTAAACTTAGAATGAGGAGATATTGTTAGACTGAATCGAATGGTGGTATTTTTGTCCTCATAGCATTAAAATTAGATATGAAACATAAAACTCCCAGTGCAATGCGTGTCTAACTGTCTATACAGTGTCGAGAAATTAAAGAAACAATATATTTTACTATACATGCAATTTTTAAATATATTCAAAACGTGTTTAGGTTTTCATCGAGGGTCGAGTGTCGAGGGTCCAATGTCGAGGGTGAGGGTAAAAAGTCGAGGCCGCTGAGGGTAAAAAGTCGAGGGTGAGGGTAAAAAGTGTAAAAAGTAAAAAAATTGCGGGCAAAATAACTTGTTTAATGTTGTGACATGGACTTATCATATATATGTAGGCAGAACTATACATTAACTTTTAAAAGATACCTTGCGTAAATTTTCTAAGCGATTATTTTCTAGGCCACTTCACGCTCGCAAGTTAACATGTTTATGTCTAATATGAGAACGGTGTCTTTGCTTTCTTAACAAATTAACGTAACGGTATAGATTATCGGGCAGCTGTAATCCTCAAGCCGGTAAAGGCAATATATTAATTAGGCCGAATATATTACCAATAGCAAGTTGTGATAAAAAAAAACTTGTGTATTTTCTGCTAGATTTGAGCGCGGTTAGCGCGGTTCAGACATGCCACTGTTTCAAGAAACCAATTAACGCTAAGTGATTCAGTCAATATTACTCGTCTCACGGCCGAAACATTGGCCAACCCCGCAAGCAAGGGTCTCCACACCTGCGGCGGGACGGAGGCCCTTGCTTGATGCGAGGTTGAACATTGCCATTGGCCTGTTTATGAAATTATACTACGTTTAGAAACTCTTTTAAGTTAATATTTATAATAAATGCTCTTTGACTTTGCTTTTAATAAAAAAACTCCGCCTTTTTATCTGAAAATGTCTTAATCAAAAGTAGCCTGGAGACATTACACGCTAGAAGACATGCTACGTGCGTGAAACTTTTTAGCCAGATCCTAGTTTCTAGTCCAAATTCTCCCCTAATTCATGATTTACATAAAGAGAAAACTTTTTTACTCCAAAGTTTTCTACAGACCGTTTTAAAAACTCTTTGATCGTTAGTAGTTGTCGTAAAAATACGATCCTCGACTTTTTTTATATGACCTTCGACTTTTTATCCTAACCCTTGACTTTTTACCCTCACCCTCGGCACTCGACGTCCCATCCTCGACACTCATTCAAAACACACGCCGCGTAAGTTTGTCGATTATTAATATGGGGATGCCAAAGGTATACGTAGTGCCAATTGGATAGTCAGGTCCTCAAGGGTTGACTAAGGGATATTGATTAAACTAACCCATTTTAATGAATAGAGAAATTCATAAGAAAATGCTATATATATAATGCTGCCAATGTTGCCAAGCAGTATGTATCAACTCTGCTCTATCTAAGAAATTGCCAGTGGTTAGTGGTGTCCCATAGGGAAGTATTCTGGACCCGTTACTTTTCAGTATTTATGTGAATGATTTGCGGTCAGCCGCCAAAAATTGTTCATCAGAATCGTACGTTAATGAGACTAAACTCCTTCTATCCTTCCGAATCAATGACTCGAACACACCGCTGACTGATCTAAACGAGGATTTGATTAGAATGCGAAACTGGTCTGATTAAGTAAACCTGCTCTTGCTGAATCCAGACAAAACTAAATTGATGGTCTACGAAAGCCGCCAAATGCTCGCTAAGTTACCTGATTTTAGACTCTCGCTACTTGGTAAAGAACTTACACCTGCTTCATCAGTGAAAGTTCTCGGAGTTAAGTTTGACCCAATCCTCTCCTTCAACAATCATATCCTTTCTAGTGACACTGTTTCATCCTGCAAGTCAAGTCTCTGTCAGATAAATCGCGCTAAGCATTTCTTCCGTAAAAACCTTTTAGTAACTGTCATCAACGCCTTAGTATTTGGCAAGCTGTACTACTGTTCCTCGCTTTGGTCAAATATTTCCTGCAGTAACGTATCCCGACTTCAAGGAGTCCAGCACGAGTAGTGAGCAACAGAAGGAAATTTGACTACATCACCCCGATATATACTGAAGGAACTGCGCAGGTTTCCCGTGAAATCACTTTTGTACAGTCGCGAAGCTCTATTAGCTTTCAAATGCATGAACAATTGCATTATATATATAATTCATTTATTTAATTTTATTGGAATTTTTCGAATTTTGGGGAGTGCCACCCCCCACCACCACCATCCTCCCCCCCACCCTCAAGTTTCGCTCCTGGACATGATTTGCGAATTTTTTGCAAAAATTATTGAGTGTTTGACGTACTATTTAAAACATGAGCAGCGGTGTTTTTTAAGATATTAAGATTCGAGGTGAAGCCGAGTATCTTTTCCGATAAAATACGCACTGCATGCGAATGTTTTAATGATTGCTTCATAAACGATCGATCTAGTAAGTTCGTTGCCGAAATAAGGTTCAACAAATACGCTGTGTAAGTCGAGAAAATCAAAGTTGAAGTTTATGTAAATAAAAGAGAAATCTCTATCACATATAAAGATACGACACGCTTATGATTTTTCTTTGTGTTTTACACTAGATAATAAACCTTTATCACGAAGGATGCGACGTGCGAAATCACTTTTTTCCTTAACGGAGACCAAAAAAAGTAAAAGAATAACCAAGGATGATATCGGTTTACCCACAAATTTGCGGTAAGAAATGCTATAAAATGAACGTAGTTTTAAGGCAAAGCAGGTTAAGGTGGCTCATATACGGTAACTTATCTGCCCGATCTTTAACCAGAATATGCGCTTTCCGGCGATAATTATATGTCACGAATATACCTTATCGTGGCATCATCTTAATTAGTTAAATTAATATATATACATGAACTTGCGGTTGAAGCCTGACTGCTGTACTCTGCACTCTGTACTCTGCATAGCTCTGTTGGTTAGAGCGTCGCACCGGAATCGCAGGGCCACATTCATGTACAGTTTCGGCAGAGAAGCTATAATTATAATAGTTACAGTTTTCGCAGCTGCTCCTGGTTAGGTCTAAATAAATATATTATATTTTTATATAAAATTTATACTCGGAATTCAGACAGTTTGGTGGGTCGTTTATATATAGTAATAACCTGCGATCAGGCCTATAAATAAATAAATAGGCCTGATACAAATCTTAACAAAAGTCCATGTTTTTACAACCGTATTTCGGTTGTAAATCTGATTGGATTATGAGACAAAAGATTTTTTAATCTGTCATTTGATTGGTTGGTGCTAATTACATTATAGAGTGTCGCCGAAATATTTATAGTGATCACAACTATAATTAGATTGTTGTTGTCGTTGTGTGAAATTTAAATTTCTCTTGCGACATTTTGATTGGATACTAAATATAAACGTTGCTGTGGGTGGAAAGCGATCGGATTAAGGATTGTGTCAGGCTATTATTTGTAAAACTGACACCTTTGTTATTCAAATTAGCCGCGAAGTATCAGGTTTTTTTTACTCACCATGTATTTCACGCAGCACGGTTCAGCATACGTGCAATTGAAAAGGCATTCAAATATGCTTGATTTCTAAAGGTCTCTTTTTTATACACCCTGTATATGCATGTCAATTATTATTGAATTATAAATCCTGCTTTTAACGAGTCAGTGGAAGATCGAGAGCAACGTTGAAGCCCGATTGAACGCCCTCCTGCATGAACACATAAGGGCATCTTTTATCAGCTAATTGCTTTGACATCAACCTGCACCCACAGTTACTTACCACTCGTACAAAATTGTTTGGGATCAACAGTACAGAATTATAAGACAATTCACAACTGTACGCTTTTCCTTTTTTGTCTGGACGAATAACTGTATGTTGAAGCTAAAATATTGGACATCAACTGCTATATAATTCTATGGCCATTCACCCTCGCCCCTTAAATGGAAAGGAATGATAGCTGTCATAAGGTTTAGCAAAGTATTTTTTATTATATCTGGTATAAAGTGTCCCTAAGTTTAATCAGGGATACATATTAAATTCATAAACTGTATATGTATGCGCACGAAATATCGCTCATAGAATTATTTAATGAATAATAATGAGTTAACGTTTTTATAATCCATTTAGAGTTTCCATTGATAGATAGGTTGTTTGCCTCCAGTATCGTTTGGTGAAACTTTTAGAAGGTCGATCACAGTGACAGTATACGATAAAGTTTAAGGTTGATATAAATATTGTCTTGATGACCCACATCAGCATGAAGCTGGATTTTAAGCGGGATTATTCTTCAAATAAAGCCCAATGGGGCCTTTCAGACATAATTAAGCTGCATGGGCGTGTTTTTTTGTGAAACTTAATAGTTAACCTGCACCGTAGCACGAGAACGATCAAAAGCTGAAATCTGATTGGATATATTGCTCAATTAATCGCGAACGAATCGGACGAGTAAAGACGAGAACGACATCTCTCATGACATCAGTCATGACATTTTTACAAATTGAAAGGCCCAAAGGGAATAAAAATACCAAGTTTAATTAAACGTATACATGCAGATATTTATCCTAAAATTTGCCACCATTGCAATAATACGTATGGTTGTGTTGTGACTTGAGAACGGTGGCCGGACATTTTGCCGAAAGACACTTTGCCGAAAGACATTTTGCCGAAAGACATTTTGCCGAAAGACATTTTGCCGAACGGACATTTTGCCGACGGACGTTTTGCCGAACGAATTATGCCGAAAATAGAGATATCTTCTGAACTTTAAATGTTCGCTTAGACGGTCAAAGTTTCTGTGATTAAAGTCATTAATTGTTGATTTTGTTGACAGAAACTTTGATAGTGAAGTATAGTTTCGTTTTATATTCTTTCAAATTTTTGACAAGTTTACCGAAAATTTGCGATATAAAGAATAACATCATTCAACATCATTCATGGATGCGATTTCCCCGAGAACTGTGAATGTATTCAATGATTCTCGAAATGAAATTCGCTTACGTCGTCTTTATATACGCTTGTTTGTTTACGATCTGACGTCAAAACACGTTCGTAACAAATGAGTCATCCGCTGCACAAACAACTACCAATAGTCAATATGGTTATGCACTGCTAACGACCATTATGCACTGCTAATGACCATATAATGGTTATTTTACACAATGGTTGAGAATTAGACAGTTGAGAATTGAGTCACAGTCCCAAACATTTTGACGAAATAACATCTTTATTTTCGGCAAGTTGTCCTTTCGGCAAACTGTCCGTTCGGCAAAATGTCCGTTCGGAAAAATCTCCGTTTGGCAAAACGTCCGTTCGGCAAAACGTCCGTTCGGCAAAATGACCGTCGGCAAAATGTCCGTTCGGCAAAATGTCTTTCGGCAAAGTGTCTTTCGGCAAAATGTCTTTCGGCAAAATGTCCGGGTACCCTTGAGAACTAACTGAAGCATGCCTCCGAGACGAGTTAGACGAGTTGGCGAGGTAGAAAGGGCGTTAATATACATGACCAATAAAGACCCAGTTTGGGACATAAACGACATCGCGCGAGATGAACGTTTCATGAATATGCCAGACAACGTGCAGGAGTTGACGTTAATGCCGGTCAACGACCGGCGGCTCGACGACGAATTCGCGAATATATCGCAAGGGAGCAAAGGAAGTGAGTATACTGTGTTTTCCATTGTACAAATAATGCAGCCTAAGGCTAAATTAGTTTTAAATTATTACTTTAGTGGACTATTAGAAAGGGTGAATGAGATGCAGTATGCCGACCGCCAAAATGCGTTTCGAGAAGCTGCTAATTTGGCAATTCGTCAAAGAATTGAAGGGGCTCAAGGTGAAAATATACCTGGCAATAACGGTGAAGTCGATGAAGTCCCTATCCCTCCAGCGCAAAACAATGTCAATGGGAACGTTATGTTTCTGCTGGAACAGGCAGAACAGGGACAGGAACAGCAACCTGAACCCGACGGAAATGAGGATGAACAAGTTCCTCCAGCACAGGATCCTCCTCGAGCAATGCCCATACCCATTCCCGTACCTGGAAATGATGGAGAAAGGCGTCCGTATCATGCGCTAGCTCGTGAAAATGCTGAGGCGTTAAATGAGCTTTTAACTCGAGAAATTCCGGTTATGACACAGCAACTACAACAAACAATGGAACTTATGAACCAACTGATCAGGCCGCAGTTGGATAATTGAAATACGTTGATTTAAAGATTTTTAAGATATATCAAAACAGTGCATTTTTGTTTCGTTCTGTTAAACATATATTAGTTTTGTGTAAGCTCATGCTCAATGGACAAAGCGCTGTGTATTATATAAGAATAAAATGTTGTTTGTGCATGAAACGGTATAAAATATCATTTTATATATATATTTATTATATATATATATATTTGTATATATATATATATATATATATATATATATATATATATATATATATATATATATATATATATATATATATATATATATATATATATATATATATATATATATATATATATATGCATTTTATAACATAAAATTTATGGACGTTAATTTATACATTCTTGGATGTATTATAACTGATAGTTAACAAACGGCAACTTTATAAGTTAAAGTATATGACACAAGAATTATGTTAGCCATTAATTGAAACAGTCCGCTATCGTTGTTATGCCCCAAGAATCCCGACTGAATGAATACGATATTGCCGTGGTTATCCATTATTATTTGGGTTGAAAAGTTGTGATCGATATCTGCAATGGCCACTGTAAAATAACTGCTGAGGTTAGGCCTGCGGTCTTTGTATCCTATGTCGAGTTCTATCAATGACAGCCACTGCGCCAGGAAACATATTCCAATGATTAGCCATTTCCAGCCATTGCTCCGCCGTTGACCACTTTCACTTGCTCTTTGAAATAGTTCCAAAGCACAGGAAGCAAAAACCGAATTTCTCTTTCAACCGTTGTTGGACTGATCATGAATAACCCACTAAGCATTTACAACTTCTGGGTACATTCTAAGCCAAATGAACATCAGTTGTATTCTGTTCCGAATATCAAGGGTAAAGGGGTTGTCGCGAACCCTTAACCGCCGGCGTCGAGTGTACATGGTGATATAAGGCGTAGCATCTCGTACAATCTGGTTGAAGGATTCCACGCTTTCGCTGGTCAAATTCCAAAATAGGTGTTCGCATCTTACCAGTTCATTGTAAAAGTCTCTTTCCGGGAATATTGGATTGGCCGCATGTTGCTGTTAAGGCAATCGGGTCGTAGAACGCGCGAAAAAGCTGCCCAACGGTGGCAAGTAAAGAGTTTAAAGTGTCGTTTCTGTCAATGATATTGCTCGACTCTTCCATTGATGCGTGAATTATTGGCAAATATATCACGAGAAAAGCATTCAAGACATTATTTAGCAGTGCATAAAACTGATATTCATGACCTCCATTTCGTTGTCCATAGCTTTTGAGTATAATACTGTATAAAGTGTCGTGTGACACAAGCTGATGCCTACTGGAAATACTCGAAATTTATAGCAGCTGGCTTGTTAATTTATAAAATATTTTCTAAACTAAAGTAAGGACATGCATAAATTTAACTGATTGAACTATTTCCCAACAGGTTTTAACAATAAGCAATTATTGGATGAGGCTGAGCATGATATCAAGAATTATTCAGACCGAGGTCAATGTTATCTGCCGAAGCGAAGCTGAGGCGGATAACATAGACCGAGGTCTGAATAATTCTTGATATCGTGCGAAAGCCGAATCCAATAATTGTTTTATTATACATTTAAAGACATGAGAAACGTATAAAACGCTTCCTGTTCACGAGGTAGGAAAAGTACAATTTCAATATCAAACACCTTGCACAAAGTCAAAGGTCAGCTAAATATTATATTTCTACTTCTATTTACCCCTTTGCGGCTTTTTTCGTGCTTTCACTATCCTTATCTGCCAATAATTTGGAGAGTTCACTTTCATTCAGCGAAGCAAATCTGCTGTCGGCCATTGTTTGTTTGTTTTCCCGCGCTTATAGGTTCAAGCTTTTGGCCGCGCAAGGGTTTGGGCACGAGAGAGTCCAATAATTTTTTTTTTGGATGCAAGTTCGATCCAAAAAAACAATTATTGGACGCCGATGACGTCATCGGCGGAAAATACGTAATAAATGCCGAATACTGAAAATTAGCCGGTGCTTTCTGACCAATTAGAAACGAGAATACATATTAAATGTATAATAATGCCTATAAAGTGTGAGTTGTCCGTGCACTTCTCCCAAAAGGTTTATATAATATAATTAGTTATTTCAAACGATAAACCGAACATTCACATGATGCATGCATGCATGCATATTAGTGTTGTTGCCGATGCAGGGGAAACTAAAATTTACTTGAATATTTTAAATTATTATTCGTTGTACTGTGTTCTCGCCGGTTTTTCATTGGCTAAGAGCCTACAAATAATTTTGGGTATTTGTAGGTGCCTGCGCTATTTCCAGCGGAAACAGCAATCTGCAGAGGTTATTGGACGGCGCCCGAGATATTTCAGCAGTATTTTATGTGAAAATACAAATTGGCGGGAAATTTTTAGTTGAATTTACGAAAAGTTAATCAATAGACCTTATTCATAAATCGTGATGAGGCCTCGTATCCTAGGAAACGGGGAAAAACGCGGGAAAATTGACAAAATGTTTTTTTGCTGTCGGCTATGGCAGCTTTTTTTCGTGAATATTTACGGCTTTTTTCGAAAATAATATCTATAAAACTGAGCTTGAAAGTTGAAAAAATACTTCTGAGAAAATAGTACATGATATTTAAAGCAAAAGATGCTGGAGTCAATCGAAAAAGGAAACCTTTGAGTTTGTATTATTGTCGTAGCTTGTATGGCCGAAACAAACAACCAACAAGGCTACAAAACGTCTATTCAACACCAAAATCGTAAGAAATATGAAACTATTGTTGAAGAAATAAGATTACAACTCACTCAGGTAATGTAACCTTCATTTTTTAAACTTGTAAGCTGCTTGCAGAATGTTATCGAGCCACAGCCATAGTTCATATTTTTCCGTACGAATCAATAACATTTGACGTTCTCTTGTGATTTTTTACTGTTATTTTCTTTCATATTTAAGTCAAATTCGAAAAATTATACTTCCATTCCATAGTTGTCTTGATTCTTCACGGAATAAACCTTTATATTGATGTTAAAATCTCAGTAAAATACTGTTTTTCGCTTCTGGATAAACACCACCGCTAACGTCATTTTTTCCACACAAAAACAGGAGAAAAACCGGTCGCTTTTGTAATATACTCATTTACCGCTTTCGTTGTGGGCACAAAGTCTTAAAATACACACAAAAATCGTTATAAATCGCAAAAAGCAACAAGAAACAAGCCGCTAAAGTCGACACAATAGCATCTGAATTTGGCTTGTCAAGCAGATTTCGCTTGTTTTCCCGCGTTTTGTTCCCGTATCCTAGGATACGAGGCCTCGTCACGATTTATGAATAAGGTCTATTCAATGAATATTTATTTGTTTTCAAATGTTGCTTGTTTTGTTTTCTTTCTGTCACAAAATGCGAGACAAAGTGAATAATAAAACAATCATTGAATTTGGCTTGCGCAGGATACCAGAATTTTTCAGACCTCGGTCAATGTTAACTGCCTCAGCCTTCGGCTTCTGCAGATAACATTGACCTCGGTCTAAATAATTCTGGATATCCTGCTCAGCCTCATCCAATAATTGTTAATAATATGGAATAGTATTTTGAATCGTAAATAGTTAATTTATTATATAAACATAAGTGTTATATATATAGAGTGCATCTTAATATAGTGTCTAACAAAATACCCATAAACTTAATTACTTTTGAGGGGTCTTGCGTTTTGTCCTGAGCAATGGGGATTAATAATTTCAAAAGTAGACAACATGTTTGCTAAGCTTTGCGGGCAGAGGCTATTATGCCGAGGCAAGACCGCTGGCCGTTCGATTAAAAGAACATCATTCAGGATGTGGCAAAATGAGATATTACATTTATTCAGCATGCAAGATCCATTCAAGGGCATCGGCAGGTTGGTTGAAGATAAATTGGGCACTCCATAAGGAAGAACATTATCATAGTAATGCTTCCCTTTCCAACACATGCCTAAAAGCTCATAGTCGTCTCGATGGATAGGTACTAACCCACTCTCCTTCGCAGAGCCTTGCGAATTTTTAGTCAAATTATACGTAATATTACTTGGGGGAAACAAATGCGTAATTGTTAGTCAAAACGCGCAAGGTATGATGGGACGACGGAAGCTACGTCTCACTCCCCCCCCCCTCCCCCCATCGTGCACCACTAAATGTCCACTATCCCTACATTATCTCTACAATTCTCTACTATCCTACGTTACTACTACATATGCAATTCGCTCTTCGGAGGAAAGTGGTACTAATCGATCGAACAAGTATAATTACTGGCAAGTTCATAATATTTTGGGCATATCTCGCTTGCATGTGGTCGGCCGTATTTGCTCTTCAAAATTGTTTTGGTGCGCGTAATTCGTATCCCTTGATTGTGGAAGGCAAACCAACTACTTCGGTGCCTATACTTGTTTCTAGCACTTCTTTTAAGTACGCATGCAAATTTTGTGGTTGGCGCAAGGTCGGACTTATCAATCTCCGCTTCAAACTTGTTTAAAAATGTGAGCCAGTTACTCGCATTCCCGTTACAATAACACAAGGCTTTAGCGGTTTCGATTAATGTATGAGCGTGATCTTGTCCTTGAGATTTCCGCGTTTTATCAACTTTTTGTTCGCATTCTAATTTGAGTTCAAACTTGCGCTTTTCAAACAATTATTGTTCCTTGCTTTCCTTTTCCTTTAACGCATGCTCTTTTTCTCTGACCCCTATTTGGTTGGTTGTTACCTCAGTGATAGCATTCTTCGGTGATGTTATCGCTTCGTTTGTTTTCCCAATCTCCTTGTCCAAATCTGCGCGCCATTCTGCAGCCGCCTCCGGTTTTTCGCCCTTTTCGAACTTGAACTGTTCGACATTTCTTCGCCGTGTATCTACATCGTCTAACGCAATGTTCAACGCTTTAAGCTAACCTTCCATAGCAGTAATAATGCAACCATCCGTAATTGAGCCTGTTATTTTTATCCCGTGTAAATTTAATTTAACATTAAGATCTGCCACTAGTTTCACATCCCCCATTCCTTCAGACATGTTTGAAACGTCGTATTTAGTGCTACTTAGTTTCGAAAATAAAGTATTATAACCCCGTTATTGGAGAACTAATCTCTGTGTGGTAATTGCAGCCATGTAATCTATTGTGTAACTAATTTTGTGTAATAATTTGTGTTAAATGGCAAAATCTGTAAAATAAAAAAATGTAGTCACAACACTATTCACAAATCACAAGCTTTTTCTAGTTTTATTAAGGGAGTGTTCATTATTTATACCCGGGGTTGGTACCGAAGAGAAATGGGTTGGGTAAACCATTTTTCTGGGGTATGAAGGGTTGGGTAAATATTTTTTGAACAAAGCCTGTGGTTGGGTAAATTATTTTCAATACAAACCTTCAATTGAACAAAATATGAAAATCCTTTATTTAACAAAATGGGTCGTTCCAAGAAATATATCCATTCATTCCCCACAAAGAAAACTAAACTCCAACTCCCCATCACCTCTGATTACAACAACCAAGGGTGGGTTGACTACAAAAGTTTTGTAGTTCGCTATAACTACAGCTACTTCAAAAATATGTAGTCAGCTACAACTACTGCTACTTTTGAACAAAGGTAGTTCGCTACTGACTACAGCTACTGCTCAAAAAATGCAGCGAACTATTTCGCTATTTCGCTACTCTATCTTTTTTAGTTTTACGGTATTTGGAGCATCCACTAGCTCAGGCTGTAATATAACCTATAACAAATCAACTTACGAGTAGCAACAGTAAACAAAAAGGGTCAAAGCAACATTTTTGTAAGTACTACAGTGTTCAGGAGTGCCACTTTTCATAATGCGCTAAAATAATCTTTACTGTATAAAATAATCTTTCTTTTGCAAATCGTGTCTTAATATCATTCTATTCTATGAACGGTTGCTAACAATTTTAAAAAGTAGTGAATAGCGATTCGCTGTTTGAAAAGTAGTAAACTACTTGGCTACTTTTAGGCAAAATATAGTTCGCTATAACTACAGCTACTGTTTTGAAGAAGTAGTCAAAAACTACTGGCTACTTGAAAATTGTAGTTCGCTACAGTAGCGAACTACAACTACTTCGCTACTACCCACCCTTGACAACAACGAGATATGGTAGGACTGCAGGAACTTGGAGGCTTGGGAACATAATGTGAACTTGTGAAGGTACAAACGACATAGTGAAAATGAAAGTGAAAATCAACTCTTTTTGGAAAACACTCAAAACTATTGATGATAATACAGATAACACGACTCCAAATTTAACCTCAGAGAAACAATGGCTTACTCATTTCGAAATATTACATTCAAAACACAGTGTTGATATAGCTCAACATAATATATTCTTCAAATGCTAAATACAGAAGAAAAACTGAAAGATAACTACTCAGATTTAGACCAACCATGCAATATCAGAACAGGAAATCAAGACTGCTGTGAAGAAACTAAAAAATAATAAATCTGTTTATTTAGACCGAATAAAAACGAAATGATTAAATGTAGTATTAATTTTCTTCTTCAAGCTTATCTCAAGCTAGCTATTCAATTTAACTTTTAAAACCGAGATTTTTCCCAAACAATGGTGTGAAGGTCTAATCACCCCAATTTTCAAATTTTGATGATAAAGTTACCTGTAATAATTATCGAGGAATATGTGTGTCAAGTTGCTCTAGGAAAATTTTTCTGACTTATATTCAATGACAGATTGCTAACATTTACTAAAGAAAATAATTCTCTGCACCCTTCACAGACTGGATTTTTACCTGGACATAGAACAGCAGACCACATACTAACTTTAAAATCATTAGTTGATAAATATGTACACCAAGAGACCAACGGCAAAATAGCCTATATACATGTTTTGTTGATTTCAATTAAGAAAGCCTTCGTTTCGGTTTGGCATGATGGCTTACTTCTAAAACTTCTTAGAAACAAAATTGGAGGCAAATTTTACAGTCTTATAAAAAATCTGTATCGTAATTAGCTGAATTCATAATAGAAGACGGATGGGAAAGTTAGACGGGAAACTCGTTTTAAATTTATATCAGACGAATAAATCAAGACGGGTTTCTGTTCGTAACGTTCAAAAGAGACTGGGATGGAGAGTCTCCTATTTTTTTCGGGTTTATCCGTCCAATGGTTTTCGTTTCACAATTATACTAGACGGAAATCAGTCGCACGAGTTTCCCGTCTTAGACGGAAATCCGTCTTCTAATATGAATTCAGCTATTCAAAATGTGCTGTTAAACAGTCACAACATAGAACGTCGTTTTCCCCATATTCTAAAGGAGTAAGACAAGGATGTATCTTGAGTTCACTCCATTTAATATTTATCTTAATGACCTTCAATCAATGTTCAATAATATATAGCTTCCGATCCCCTCATATTACCAAACAAGACAAAATTAAACTGTCTCTTGTACGCTGATGATCTTGTTATACTTTCAAGATCAAAGATAGGTCTTCAAAATTGTCTGGATCAATTAATTAAACAATTGGTGCAAACAATGGTTGATGCAAATAAATTTAAATAAAACAAAGATAATGGTCTTACTGCATGCAGAAGTAAAATCAACAGCAACTAATACCAAATTTCAACATAGGAGACACAACATTACAATTTATCCAAAAATATACTTATCTCTTATCTTTAGGATTAAAACTTACACCTACAGAGAAATTTACTTCAGCCATGAAGGATCTAGCTGAAAGGCATTATAAATTCTATGTTTGCTGTAAGGAAAAAAGTGAATTTCGATAATATAAAACCAAAATTAGCAATCAAAAGTTTTGACAGAATTCTTCTTCATAATTCAGAAGTGTGGGGAGCATTTACTACTACTGACTTAAATAAATGATATCAAACTCCAACAGAGAAAGTTCACATGAGATTCTGCAAAATGTATTTATGTGTTCACAAAAAAGCAACCAATATAGCATGTAGAGGGGAATTAGGCAAATTCCCACATATCATTAGTATCCACAAACGAATAATAAAATACGTTGCCCATATAAACTCACTACGAAATTCTGCAATTGCAAAACCAAGCATTTTCAATTTCCAAAGATCATTATATATAAAGAATAAACCTAGCCTGCACACTAACTTGATGAAAATACTAAAATTATATGACTCGTCAGCTGAGTTAAATACGCTAGATAATATTTCACCACCGCAAATATCTTTATACAGGGTGTATAAAAAAAAAAAGGTAATCGAACTTCAGCGCGCTATTATACGTGAATCACTCGGCGTATGAACAATTGGGTTTCAGCCAGGCTTTTAGCTATTGAATGACATGCTTTTCATACCAAGTGGAGAAAAATAAGCATGTACGAGGCCGATCAAAAATGTTAGTCAAAATCACATATTTTCACCTCTGTGCCTAATTAAAACAATGCATAACAAAAGAAAAAGCAATTAATCACGAACGTGTCGTAGCTTAGCTAAGATTTATTCCTACTTAATAATTAATTATGAAATGTGCGTAGTTTAATGAAGTGAAATTATCAACTTAAATACCAAAGGGGGTTCATTTTCAATGGTTTTAGACCCAACTCTCAACGGTGAAAATATGCGATTCTGACCAACATTTTTTATCGGATTCGTATTTGCTCATTTTTTTATTCATTTGGCATGAAGAAGATATCATTCAACAGCTAAAAGCATGATCTTTTCGAATGTGAAAAAATCTCGTTCATACGCAGAGTAATTCAGATACAATAGTGCGCTGAAGTTCGATTACCTTTTTTTTATACACCCTGTATATCCAGAATGCCAAAGACAAATACATAAACCTTTGGAAACGAAAATTACAAAACTCGTCCAAACTATCCGTTTTACGTACCTTTAAATGTGAATATCAATTAGAGGAATACTTAAATATCTTAAAAACTCGACACAGAGAAGAACCTTAGTTTACTCAATTTCGTATTAGCTGACATAAATTACAAATTGAAATGGGAAGATACCACATAATTCCACAGGAAGAGCGTATATGCGAATACTGTGATTTGAACAAAGTCAAAGACGAATATCATTTTTCTCTTTCCTGCAAATCCTATCAAAATTAAGGAAATGATTTGATCTCTAACTTACAAAATTTTCCAATACCAACCTCTTTTCATCATAAAGATGACTTACAATCTATATAATTTCATCTAAAGATTCAACTTTAATTAAAACTTTCTCAAAATTTTTACAATTATGTTTCATCAAACGAAATAACTGCCTTGATTAATTGAAGTTACTTAATACAGTTTTTTTTATATATTATATGTATTATATTTTATATTATATATGTTATCTGTTATATGTTATATGTTATATGTTATATGTTATATGTTAAGCAAAAAGATAAATTTATATACACCAAACTTCCCATATAAACATTTCTAAATATTATGCTTTAGCAATATCTTGTAAATAGGTCATGCTATAATAAAGCGCTTTCAACAGCAATAGCCCCTACTTTTTTCCCTCCCGTACGGCTATGCACTGGATATCACTTACTGTGCCATCTCATCTGTTTAATAAACGCGTTGGCATGTACATTTTGTTGGAATTCACGTCTGTGTTGTGAATATAGGCATAATAACTTAAAGTAACTCATGAATATTCAATACAACATGGCCGGCACCTGAACCTCAGATGAAACTGTGCACTGACACAAAAGTGTTAACTTGGCTTAAAGTCGAGAAGCCATTTAAACTTGCACCATCAATAACTGTACACTGATTATATCTTACAGTATTCTACAGTGCGTTGACTACATGTGACATTAGGAAAAATTTAGAAAGAAAAATTATTCAGTAATGATGATCGAATCAAATATGTATATATGTTGTATTCTAGCTAACTTATTTTGTTTTTGTCTATAGATATGTTGGATGGGAATCACCATCATCATCATTTGCAGGTACTATTTTTGAATTTGTGTAAAACATATCAGTTTTAAGGTCAAGTTAATGTGTTGCAATCCATACCATCGTTTTGAAACTTGAAATTAACTACTTATTACGGA